AAGACACCAACTGGGAATGGGTTATCCTCAATCAGTCCAAAAAGTGGGAACAGGGCTCAAAGCTAGCAAGCTCCAAATCAAGGATGAAGATCGGCTGCCTTCCCATCAGTGGAACTGCAGGCTGAAGGTAAGTCTATAATAGGCTGTGTCTGCCAGCTGCAGGTGAAAGAGTGCCAAATGAGATTGTTCCCCAGGGTTAGAGACAAAACGTCAGCCAAAAAAATAACAAAAATGTTGAATTTTAGGCTCAATTAGGAGATTTCCCTGAGAAGCTCCAGCCCATGCGACTATCCCAGTCAGTTGGCAAGCCCCCTTTTTTATGAAAGATGTCCAATGTATAAATAACTTCTGATAAAAACTTTTACATTTAAAAGTTGTAAGTCTCTTCTCTGGTTCAAAAGCTTCTTAAATATTAAATAAATTGTGTCATGGGAATTGGGACAACCTGGTTATACCATATAACCAGCACTGTTATTTTCTTATTTAGTTTTTGTTGTTTGTTTTATTGTATACCTAGATCAATATCTTAATACTCTTCAACCTGAAAAGAGATAGCATCAAATGTATTTTGTTTTGTAACTCTTTACTCTATGTTATTTAAGAGTTCCATTGATTTGGTTTCATGTTTGTTTGTTTTATTCTCCCATGGAATTCTTATTTGTTTTTGTGGTTTTCTTTTTGTCAATCTTTTTATTGAAGCAATTATAAAAGCATTGCATACACCAGAAGATTAAAAAAACAGTATGAAAAAGGCATTACAGCGGACTACAATCAATCGGCATTACCTAATTTTTAAAAGAAAGTAAAAATAATAAACAAAAACAACGTAGACCTACTATTATAACATTAAACAGAAGCTAAACAAGTTAACTTTACCAGCTAGTTAGACATGGGTATTTCAGCTGTGTATCAAGATAATACCCTAAGGATGCCCCTCTGTTAGCGAGATGGTAAAAGGAAGAAACACAGAGGCAGGCTAAACAACAAGAAAAAGAGAAAAAAACAGGAGGGAAAGAAACTTAGCAAGATCATATGGCAGCAGTAAACTCTGAAGCTCCTCCACAATATATATGTAGAGTAACCAGGAACTCTTTTTATCTCAGTCCCAGTTCAAACTTTGCCATCTATGGGCAAAGCACAGTCCTGCACTAGGGAGATATGCTGTGGACCTTTGAGCCCAGACAAAGGCTGGTGGTTCGCTTCATATGCCCAGGATGGAGTTCTTCATGGCATCTCCAACTCTGTGTGAGATCCAGCCCCAGTCTGCATCCATACATGATTCCTCCTTGTGCCTAGGCAAACTGTGCAGCCCATGTCACCGTTATATGCCTTATTGTTCCACAGCTAGATATAAGGTATAGTGGGGATCTGCATTGGATACCCAATGGTGTTAGGGCCAGCTGGTGCATGCTTCATTCGAGCTGCTGCCATAACTTGGCAAAAAGGCTGTCCAGACTGGAGAAGATGTCTGGTAGTTCATTGCTAGGAGCAGGGAAACACGTAGTGGATGTGTCACATTGAACTCTGTCAGGAATTGTGGCTTTACCCTGCACTCCAACCAGGTAAGGGTAGCCAAGAATCACTCCCACTGCTTATGAAGGGGGAGGGGAACAGGGCACTTATTCAATATTATTTGCTTCTGGGCCCTACCTGGCCGAGGGATAGGTTGCTTCTCCCACCAGGTCTGCACTAGGTTGCATTTGTCATGGTAAAGTAAGTAAACTCCAGACAAGTCACTGACTGCTGCTTAGTGTAGCGGATAGGCCGAAGAGCCAGAACTTTTTAAAATTGTTACCAAATGGAACTTGATCAGGGTGCAGAATGCTGTGTTAGTAGAATAGTGGAAGAGCTTGCAAAAGACACTCATGCCTCACTCCCCAGACTTCTTGTTTTTAAACATATTATCTGAGTACAATATATTCTCACTAGTAATATTCACTATTAAGTTTGTGATTTTTCTTAACAAACATTTGGACCAAAACCAATAAAATAGAGAAATTAAACGCTGTAAAAAAATATAAAACTGATTATTAATATTATTATTATTATTATTGTGACGAGACCAATCTCGCCACATTGCATTGGAGAAGCCTGGTTGCTCGCCTGCTGCCTTTGGACTATGGCCCCCTGTTAAAATACATCTTTTTTACCTGCAGAAAAGCTTCATTCGTGCTTTTCTGCCTGGGGTTCAGTAGATTCAATCTACCGAACAACCGTACGAATGACTGGACCACCTGGGAGCTGGAGTGTGCCGGCAATTAACCTCCCTGAAGCTGCGGTTAACCGCAGCTTAATTGACGAATGCTGGGTGGCCGCCATTCGTATCCCGAACACGAGGTCGCGGCCATTTTAAACATACGAATGCACAGTGGTGTTCGCACCTATTTTCATGGAACTAAAATCGGTCACAGTTTTGCGCGAACACCGCTGGAGCCGCCGACCTCCCTTCTTGTTCGGTGGAAGTGCACGAACGGCCCGGTGTTCGGTATTTTTGTTCGAATGTATTATACCCCAGATAGGAATCCCATGGAGCCCATTCGTATGAAACTGACTGTGTAAAGACTTTAGCTCCATGGCGATTAAACTGTATTCATGCGGTCTGAGTGCCATTCACCTAATAATGTGCACTCAGACCTGAGCTATCTGGGGATATGTTACATGTCTGTGTTTTATGTAGTAAATGCTACTTTATGTATTTTAAAGTATAATACTGGTTTTGTGTCCCCACATGTGTAATCGAGTTTTGCCTTTGTCTTGGGAGATAATTGAGTTACTTCCCAATTATCTCCCAAGGCAGAGGGGAGGAAGCCAGGATGCATTGTGGGAAATACTGTGACTGTGTGTCCTATTTGTCTGCTTGTCTGTCCCTTGTCACAGTCTCCCATTTGGTCCCCTAGGGGAGTGTCCACCAGGTGGGAGACCTGCATAAATACTGGGCAGGTAGCCCTCATTAAACAGACCACTGCTTGACCCTCAACACGGAGCTCTGTCTCGTCTTTGGGGGGATTTACTGTATGCCGCTAAGGACTGATTACCAGGAGTGTAAGCCGCTTGGGAGCTTTTCCTGTTCGTCTGGTAGCAGCAATTCGTATGGTTCCTGTTCGTGTATTTGGAGTGCTATCTTATTCCCTTGTATGCCATTCGGGAGTTTGGAGCATTCACTTGTATGCAGTTCGAGAGTTTGGAGCATTCACTTGTATGCAGTTCGAGTGTTTGGACCATTCCCTTGTATGCAGTTCGAGTGTTTGGAGCATTCCCTTGTATGCCGTTCGGGAGTTTGGAGCATTCACTTGTATTCAGTTCGTGTGTTTTGGTGATTCTACAGCAGCTGTGCCTGTCTCTGAAAGGGGATTATCGTCTAAGCGTTTTTTTCCCCTTTTGTGCAAAACGGTCCGTTACAATTATTATTATTGTTGTTATTATTATTGACATTTAAATAGTGCCAACCTATTTTGCAGCACTTCAATATAAAGGGAGGACTTTAACATGAAATTAGACAAACTACTACCAATTTTTACAGGAACAATAGGTTGACGAGGATCCTGCATAAACAAGCTTACAATCTATTCTAGAGGATTTTTATATGAAGTTAGAGTTTAGTGAGTGAGTGAACTGGATTTTGTATGATATATGAGCGTAGATATATAAATATATTGCTCCTGTGAGTGAACCCATTTTTCTGTACACAAGTCCTGTGACTGCACTTTTTTCTTTTAGGATACATTATAATCGTTGTTTGCACCTGGGCAATGTTTTGGAACAATTGAAGGCGAGGAAGAGTGCTTAATTACTTTTGACCATATTTATATTAATCCTCATGAACTTGTTTCCTATACAATTGCTTTAGTAGGAAAGACAATTATAAATTGAAATAAATCCTCGATAAATAATTACATAGGGAACACCTTTGTTTTAGTGATTTGACAAGTGCATTGGAATGTTGGAATGTGACCTCTGGGTCATTATTATGCTCCTGTCATCGCTTTCACTGTGAAATAAAACAAAACAATAGTCACAGTCTGTTTGATAAGTAGTCATAGTTCTGGCAATCTCCAAAGAATGGCAATAATACTCAACCAAACAATTTGATTTACTACAAAGAGTTTGCACAAACCTTGCCCAGATTCTGCAATCTGAATCAATCTACAGGTCTCTAATGGTTTTCCCACCTAATAAAGAACGCTCTTCGAAAAACAAATCCATCCATTTTAGCTACATTAAATGGATACTATAGTCACCAAAATAACTTCAGCTTAATGAAGCAGTTTTGGTGTCTAGATCAAGCCCCTGCAATCTCACTGCTCAATTCTTTGCCATTTAGGGTGTTAAATCACTTTGCTTATGCAGCCCTAGGCACACCTCTCTTCATGTGACTTAGACAGCCTTCCTAAACACTTCCTGCAAAGATTCATCTAATGTTTACACTTCCTTTATTGCAAATTCTTTTTAATTTAAAATGTCTTATCTCCTGCTTTGTTAATAACTTGCTAGGACCTGCAGGAGCCTCCTGTATGTAATTAAAAGTTCAATTTACAGACCAGGAGATAACTTCTAAATTAAGTTACATTTGATTAAAAATTAAATCATTTTGTTTTCATGCAGGCTGTGTCAGTCAACGACAGGGGAGGTGTTTCTAGCACTGATGGCATTGAATTGAGCAGTGAGTCTTCAGAGGCATGATCTATACACCAAAACTGCTTCATTAAGCTAAAGTTGTTTTCGTGACTATAATTTCCCTTTAACACAAATGGTGGGATTTTGTCTTAATATACACCATGGGTCCTCAAACTCCGGTTGCTGAACTACAACTCCCATGATTCTCTGGCTATCTATGTAATTCAAAGAATCATGGGAGTTGTAATTCAGCAACATCTGGGGGGAGTTTGAGGACCCATGATATACACAAACACACTGTCCTACGTCCTTTCAATCTGTATCAGACTTTATAAAGAGTTTAAAAAAATAAATAACTGAATGCACTCAGCAACATTTTCTGTAGACCAGATTCTTCAAACGCTCCCTACCTAGCTATTCAATGTAAATTATTCATCAAAAGATAACAGTATTATGACATTCACAGCTAAAATGTCAGACGGGAATACAAATTAAAAAAAAAAAAAAATCTTATTTTCTCACATTTTTTTAAATTTTATTCATAATAAATTATGTTCCATATATGAATAGTTAATGATAAATTAAAGCCCTGTTTCTCCTGAAAAAAGAAAATACTTGTTCTGTAGCTATTAATTAAAGTTACAATAGATTCTCTGTTCATCCTTTTTTTTTTTTTTTTTAAAACAATCCAGTAATAAAGGTTAATTATAGTAAATACTGCATCACATAATCATAGAGTATGCTCTTAAAGCAAAATATAAGTAAATACAGTAGAACGGACGCACAGCGACTTCTTATTAAACTTAAAAACTTCTCTCTGCAGCTGATCCTCTCTTCACTGCATGGAAAGGTTTTGGGTGGCATGGGGCTCTGCATGCTGACGACAGATGTCAAATATCTACAGATTTAACATGAGCCAGCGTGGAAATCTCATTCTGGCCTGGCTAATGACTTTGCAAGAGGTGGACTAACACCGCTCAAAGATAGCTGCTATATCTCTGAATGTGCAATGTTTCAAACAGAACCACTGCACACACAGACTCCTAGCACCATGACCACTTCAAAATACTTAAGTGGTAATGGTCCTTGGAGTAACTCTTTAAATAGCAATATTGCCACTAAAGTCTGTGGGAAAAGTGATATTCAGTAAGCATAAATCCTTTCTCTGCTATGGAAATTCAGCCCACAGTATTTTATTTTTATTTTCGTATCGAACTATACAGCTGAAACTTTCTAGTGTATTGTATCAAAATGATAAAAAAAAATTTAAAGCAAGCAGTTATATTATATTTTATCACAATGCATACCAAGCAATTTTATTCATACTATTGCATTTATATTGTTTCAGGGTAATCTATACCAGAACTTTTTACTAATCTAAACTGAGAAAATTTGGCAAGAGAATTACAAGTGTTTGGACCAGAGTCACCAGACAGTAGAATTGGAAGAAAATCTGCGAAAATTATAATCCAAATCATGTCATCTGTTTTAGCATAAACACAGGTCAGTTTTAATTCATGATAATTCACTGTTTAGTGAATAAATGCAATTATACAATCAGTTATAAATCTGTTCATACAGTATCATAGTAATAAAAAAAAATGGTGAATTAACTTTAGAATATCATAATATATGTGTATTATACATGGCTTTAATTTTTAACTATCCAACAAAGTACAAATTCAAGTTATATCTTAAAAAAATTATCTTAAAAAAATTATATTGTATACAAAATACATGTAAACACCATGTATTTGTTTTCGAGAGATTTAATAGTCCACAATGAATGTTACTGGTAGATTAACACGTGATGGTAGATGAAGTATAGTACATATATTTATTTATTTTCCATTAAAACAAGATAGCAGAAAAAACAAACAAATCTTTATAGAATTAAAGTTATGATTTAAGGGGTACTTGCAGCTAAAGGACGAAAATTTGGCATCTGTGTTATTGTATCGCTTCCTGTTTTCTGTACACAGTATTCTGTTATAAAAATGACTTGTTAGTTCCTCTTGTCAATCACTCAACATTACAACGTTACAGTCAGCAAGTCTGATTCTTCAGTCACAAAATAAAACAGAAAACAAAACTACTATATTTTAATTAATTACAACTTTGTATTCACTAAGTTTCCTTCAGTGCACAAGCTAGCTTTGTGCATGGTTGCCCGGATCCACTAATAATTTTATTTTTATTTATTTTTGTACAATTTTTTTTAATTTTTTTTTTAAACAGGCTGAGAAAAGTAGAAAATTTCAAATTGTGATTTATATGTTGTGCTTTTATTCAGTTGAACGTATCTTCATAGCTGTGAGTATAGCCAAGATTGTTGGCAGACAGCCAGCCTGCAATGACATCCCTCCATTGAAAGCTTTAAAACGTGACACTTGGATGGAATCCCCCCAGAAGGCAGCTTTTCCTTGTGATTTTTTCATGTTTTCTGTTGCACAACCAGCCATTGTAACCGGAGATCCTGCAGAAAAACACACAAGAATATATATTTAAATATCTTCTTTTTTCTCGGTCAGTCTATGATACATAAAAATTAACACAGAAGATACCTATTCATCCGCCCATCCATATAAAAAAATAGACATAACGTTTGTACAAAAATTACATTTTAGTCGCGAGTCAATGATTGCGAGACCTTCACTAGCAATATTACTGGATATAAACCTTCTTAAAGGAACTTTGTGGTCAGATACTAACTCACGATTAGCTAACAAAACAATCTGTTCAAATAAAAGCTAAATGGGAGATGAGCCTGAATTGAGTCAAAATTTAGATTAATATATACTAAGTTTTACTTTCCTAAGGTATCAGTGGTTACAGTGTCTGGAAAATACATGAAAATGCCACCATTCCAAGCCTTTGCAATGCTACTTTTACCAGAACAGGAATGGTCAAAGTGTGCATTAAGTATCAAATGACTTGAAATTTGTCCCAATTTTGGGTGATGAACGGTTGTATCATAAAAATGGGAAAAAAAGATGATTGATGATTATTGGACAGTCACTAACCAAATAAATCAATATAGATTATTTTTCACTGATTATCCTTAACTCCCCTCTATTGGTTACTAATTGAAACCAATATCACCTTTTAGGACACACGGCTTTAATATTCCGTCATCCTGCCCTTTTCTACTTCTGAAGCTGTGTCCTTCTGGGGTCATATATATATATTATGTATAAATGTTGCAGTATACTGATTTTCATGCTCTTTAGGTTAATCCAAATAATATTTCCAAAATTATTGAATCAACCAAATTAGTCTGAGTTGAAACAGCACAAGCATGAATTTATCTATCTATCCATCCATCCATCCATCTTGATTTTTTATACTATAAGCCCTAAATTTATTATTTATTAAAACACTTCAAGTCCTCTGAAAATTATAAAATAATCAAGTAATATGTATAAATGGGTCAGGTCCTAACAGGTCTAGTGTTGACCAATCTCTGTCATGGGAGATGACGTGAGAGAGGCACAGTTATTGTTTCAGGGACAGTTTCGAGCCTCCCAACGGCACTTCAAAAAGAAGAAAGAAATAGCAGAACGTAATACGCCAAAAATAGCAGCAGGCTTGACTTGACTTTAACAATGCAGTACTCCATCAAAGGACATTGCTATATAATAGTGCTATAGAACAGACTGTGAGGTATTGGTATACAATGTGATTTGTTGCTTTTTATTTACTACAATAATGAGAATAATGAGAATGCTGTGTGTATCAAACAGTAATATTATATTATGTTATAGCACCTGTGATGTATTATGTGGCAGAACCTTTTGTTATGTACAAAATAGATGTTTAATAGTTGTGAAATGGAATGTGAGCTGTGTTATAATTGATATTTATGTTCAGATTCCAAGTTCAAATAAGAGTTGCATTCACACAGTATACTAAACATTAACATCATTCTAACTTTATCAATAAACAAATGAGTAAATTGTGTTTTTGTTTTTTTCTTATCTGTCATTTTTCATATTTAGCTGAACTTGAGAAATCCCCAAATTTACCCTAAATTTTACAAGTCAGAGACCAAATCAATGCTATTTACTTTTTACTCACAGGTTTTCATTCTGGCTTGAAAAAAAATACACTTTGACATTTTTAAAATTTAAAGGACTACTATAGTGCCAGGAAAACAAACTCGTTTTCCTGGCACTATAGTGCCCTGAGGCTGCCCCCACACTCAGTGTCCCCCTCCTGCTGTGCTGAATGGAGAGGAAGTGGGTTAAACACTCACCTTTCTCCAGCACCGGGCTCCCTTGGCGCTGGGGACTCTCCTCCTCCTTTGGCCATCATCGGCTGAATGCGCATGCGCGGCAAGAGCCACTCGCGCATTCAGCCAGTCCATAGGAAAGCATTCTCATAGGAAGCGCCTCTAGTGAGACAGCCACTAGAGGCTGGAAACTGCTATGTTTACAGCAGGCAGGGATAACCCTAGATGGACCTGGCACCCAGACCACTTCATTGAGCTGAAGTGGTCTGGGTGCCTATAGTAGTCCTTTAAATATAAAAGGGAAATGTCACTTCTCAAGATTTTTAATATTATGTTTACGTAACTTTATATATATAACAAATATGTATTTGTGAGGTATTAACAAAAAATGAAATGTAGAAATTTTCTCATTTTTCTATTTACAAATAGAAGAAAGGATTCTAACAGACAGTGGGAGCCTATGGTTTACCTTCCAGGACCGATTCCCAGGTCTACACTTTGATTAGAGTTCAAATTCGGCCATCGGTATGGTGGTAGCGTATATAATGCATAGATTATATGTCTTGTTAATATAATCTATTTTCCCCATTGGTAACTGGGTGCAGATGAGGACAAGGTCTTGATATAGTCTAAATATAAATATTATTCAAGAACAAAAGAATCTCCCTGACTTTGTCAAAGAGGCTTTGTTGAGATTACCAAGAATTGTCAGCACGATTCTTGCCAGATCTCACTCATGATGATGATGATGCATTCCATAGTGTATTCAAAACAACCTTTATCTACTGCCAGCAATATGTACTAATGATGTTTGTTTAATTCTATTAACTGCATCTAACCTTTTAATTCAGGGCTTTTGTTTTAATCTAATATTAACATAAAAGGGAAAAGTACAAATTACTCTTCTAATACTTTCCAAATGGAACAAGCTATGGATTTCCTTCCTATTAAACAGGATACCCCTTTTCACTAATGTAAGTCCACTTCAGAAGTATTTCAAAGAGTATTTAATAGATTGAAATGTTCAATGAGCATGATAAGATGATACTTCTACAGGAAAAATGATACACAAGCACCGGATACCCTTAATGGAAGCGAATTAGGGATAACAACACACGACAAGGACTTGGGAATTGTTATAGACAACAAACTATGCAACAATGTGCAATGTCAATCAGCAGTGGCTAAGGCCAGTAAGGTATTGTCATGCATGAAAATGGGCATTCATTCTCGGGATGAGAATATCATTTTGCCTCTTTATAAATCACTGGTAAGACCACACAGTGAATATGCTGTGCAATTTTGGGCACCTGCTCTAAAGAAGGATATTATGGCACTAGAAAAAGTGCAGAGGCGGGCTACAAAATTAATAAAGGAATGGAACATATCAGCTATGAAGAAAGGTTAACAAATTTAAACCTACTTAGTTTAGAAAAACGTCGCCTGAGAGGGGATATGATAACAATTTACAAATATATTTGGGCCAATACAAACCACTGTGTGGAAATCTATTCACAAACCAGACTTTACATAGGACACGAGGCCATGCGTTTAGACTGGAAGAAATAGGATTTCATCTAAGGCAAAGGAAAGGTTTTTTTTACTGTAAGAACAATCAGGATGTGGAATTCACTGCCTGAAGGAGTGTTTTTTTTATCAGAGTCCATATAGATGTTCAAACATCTACTAGATGCATACTTGCAAAAACAGAATATTCAATGATATAATCTTTCATGCAGGGTAATAACTGCTTGATCCAAGGATAAATCTGACTGCCATTCTGGGGTCAAGAAGGAATTTCTTTTCTAGTTTATTGCAAAATTGTGCTTCAAACTGTTTTTTTTGCCTTCTTTTGGATCAACAGCAAAAAAACAAATGTGAGGAAGGCTGAACTTGATGGACGCAGGTCTCTTTTCAGCTATGTAACTATGTAACTATGATGATGTCATATTATTGGTCAACATTAACAGTTTTGAAGTAGAGCCTTGATGTGTCAGGAAGCCACCACGATGCAACCACCTCTTAGCACCAGTTATTATCCTCTTCTGGATGTGGATGATATACAAGCAACGTATACCCTTAATGGAAGCGAATTAGGGATAACAACACACGAAAAGGACTTGGGAATTGTTATAGACAACAAACTATGCAACAATGTGCAATGTCAATCAGCAGTGGCTAAGGCCAGTAAGGTATTGTCATGCATGAAAAAGGGCATTCTTTCTCGGGATGAGAATATCATTTTGCCTCTTTATAAATCACTGGTAAGACCACATATTGAATATGCTGTGCAATTTTGGGCACCTGCTCTAAAGAAGGCTATTATGGCACTAGATAACCGGTTCTTATCCTCTTCTGGCGAAGACCCGCTACCATTGTTCATACATGGAACCACTTACACAATACTTAAAGAACCAGTAAAGCAGTGTCATCTCAATGAAGAGGCCAGGGTGTTGGCCTTGTCAAGTTAACCCTTCTAGGTAAAACATTGCTGTTTTGCAGAAATGGCAAAGTTTACATTGACAGGTTAAACACACTTCCAGTGGCTGTTACACTGGGAATTCACTCTGAATTCACTTTGAATTTTCACTTTGGTGAATAACCCTGTAAAATGTTGATATTCCTAACGCTTTAGTGTCCCTTTTAGTACTCAAGCCACCAAAACAAATATGCGTGTGGTGATAGGTAAAGGGAGAGAATAACTAAAGTTAAGTTATAGTAAGAGATTAAGTTAGAACAGAGGTTAGATGTGAAGATATGAGACAAATAAAATGGCGATGTTGGATAATAATGGTAAGAGGGCTAAGATAGGCTAGCATGAGAGAGGAAATGAAAAGATCAGTAGGGAGGAAGTGAAATGGGGGTAAAATGGGAAAATAGAAATGATAAGCTTTTTAAATGAGAAGATACGATTAAATCATAAAAGGGGTGGAAGAGGGGTTTGATTAGAAGATAGGGAGGTGTAGACTAAAGGAATGTGTAAAAACAGGAAATTAGAAGGGTGTGAGGGGAAGCTAGGTTGATAAAGTATGTTAGACTTTCACCCAGTCTCCACTCCTTCAAAAAATATTTGAAAATGTACTCCTTTAGGAAATTGTATCAATTAAACTGTGAACAGTTTCCCCGCCCCACACCCTGATTCCTCTCCTGCAACGGCCATCAAAACAAAACTCTAAGCCCTCAGTGAATACTATCCCAGAAACCTACTTTTCTACCCTACCCTTACCTTTTGTGTCACTATAACCCCACACCCTCTAGCATTTAAGCTCATTGCAGGGTCCTCAATCCCTCTGTTCCTGTGCGTCCATTTGTCTGGTTACAGTAACGTGTCTGTTAATCCACCCATTGTACAGCACTACGGAACTTGTTGGCGCTTTATAAATAATAATAATAATAATAATATAAAAGGGAAAGTAATGAGAATGGTAAGGGGAGAGGAGAATTGGAAAGTTGGCAGGAATTAGAAGTGTGATGTACTGAGGCAAGGGAAGACATTAAATGTGGAGTGGGGGTAAGGCTGAACTTGATGGACGCAAGTCTCTTTTCAGCTATGTTACTATGTAACTATGTAACTATGTAAAATATAAAGGTGGTGTTGAAGTAGGAGATATTGGTGTGGACAACAAACAAATGGTAGGTGAAAAGGAAAAACAGTGCAGACTGAAGATGATGAGAAAATAGGTCAGACAATTAGAAAAGAAGGAGGTGTGAAAAGAATGAGTGTATAAATAGTTGAAAAAAATACTAAATTAAACAAATAAGAAGCAAAACTGTAGAGCAGTAAAAGGAATGAGGAGAATCCTTTACACTGCAGGCTTGTAAATGTTCATATTATTTTTAAATAGACAACATGCTATTTTCTCAATGGAATAGCATAATATTTATCTTTTTTATTCATATTCATTTGTTTTAAATTTGTTTCCATGCCACATCTAGCAATATCTCCTACACACCCTACCCCCCAAAAAAAAGAAAAAAGAAAGAGTCAATTTTCCCTCAAAAAATAAGCATATAATAAAGCGAAATCTTTATAAAATATTCACTTTGAAAGTGAAAGAGCCACTTATGATCACTGTGTAGCATACTCTGCTATGTTTGACATTAACTATCAGATGATAACCAAAACATGAACTTTTAGCATACGACTACAACTGGCATGATCTGTAAGTGAAACAATTTAAAATGTGAAATTTCCCCTTTCTGTGGAAAGATGGTTATCACGCTAGTTTTCCTTTTTTTGCTTTATTGCAATGGTTCACAGAACCACAAATGAACATCCTGTTTTGGTCACTACTAGTACTCCGTACTCCAGCCTTTGTGAAATTCCTAGGACGAGGTACAAAACTTCTTTGTCTTTACTTTATCATACCTCAACAAATTTGGAACTGATTGGAAATGATGGAGCACACTAGAAAAAAATACACTCTTGCTCAACTAACAAAAAAGAATGAAAATAATCTGTCAATAGCTCGCGTAACTGTTCTATTAGTGGATATTCAGAAGCCAAACGTCCCCTCTGTGTGCCATTTAGGCCTCTCCTCAACACAAATACAGCAAACAGTGAGATATAGAATTAAATGAGTGGTTTCAGCCACTTCCTGGTGAAGGGATACCTCAATGTAGATGTTTTCAATTCTGTAGATTTGCAGCAAATGTAACTTTAAAAGTAAATATTTTTCTGTTCTTAATATTGTACTTTCAGTCCATTTTATCGAATGCTCCCAGATTGTATATTTAGATTTATTACTCATTCATCAGTAAATGTTTGTTTTACTCATTTTTTTTACAGTTTGATTAGCATCTGTTTGAAGAGAATGAGAACTACGATACTTACTGCCCTACTCAAAGAAGGTGTGGGTCAATAGTGAAATGGCCAGCTCTCCCAATGCCGAGTATCAGAGATAAAAGTTTGATTCCGAATAAGGTTGATTCATCAAAGCATAGTTGGCTAAATTAGTTCAATTAATCTGGGTATTAATAACATCTAGACCACACAATTTTCCTTTAAGCTAGTGACAGGCTCAATGTACAGATATATGGTAAATAGTGATGTCCCGAACTGTTCGCCGAATGGTTCGCGAACAGTTCGGGACATCACTAATGGTAAATACTGTAAAATGATTAAATTAAATTAGGATTCCACCTCCATCCTACCCAGTGTTTGAAAAACAGAGACAGATACCAAAAACATTTTTATTTTTTTACCTCGATGTCTGGATGCAGTAAATTGGATGCAGTGGGTTTCATTTCCTGTACAGTTCAAAGGTATCAGCTTATCACAGGTTTCTGAATTTTTCGAAAAGCAGGATGGACAATTCATTCCGTTCAGTGTGGAATTTTCTGTTTTCCCTGAAAAATAGTGACACAATTACCTGATTTGTTAAACGCATACAGTTTTTTGTTATAAGTTATTTAAAATACACATGAAACGCTATAAAATGAGCTCAAGACACACAGATTCACAGTTTAGTGATGAGATCCAAAACTGAGTCCTTGAAATCATGAATGACTACTGATTCCACAACATGTACATTTTTGTTCCTTATTTGCATTTTATAGGTAATCCCCACTGTATTCTTTAACAATGGCATTCTTCATGCTGTCACAGGTCTAAGTAATTTTAAAAGATCACTCCAACTCAAAAATAAAATCCATCTCAAATGTAAAACTTTAATAATTGGCATACTTAAACCAAGCTACAAAATCCCTGCTATTATTTTTTTAAGAAGTAAAATCTTTCAGGTTATTCACTAAATGGCAATGGCAAATCATTAACAGGAGAATTGCACATTTTAAGCTAAAGTTGCTGAGCTGGAAACATAGCTGCGTGGGTGAACATTTTCACTTCAGTTATCCTGGCCCTTTAAGTTGCAATCCCTTAGTAAATTCTTTTTAATCCCTTTTTGGTGAATTAGCTATTTGGTGCAATTTTATATAGTTGAAATAGTATTTATAGCACGTATATTCTAACTTATTTGTAAAAGTTTGAGTATAGAAAATAAACCACCCAACATTTTCAATCAATAACGGGATACTCTAATCACCATAACAACTTTAGCTTAATGAAGCAGTTTTGGTGTATAGAACATACTCACTGCTCAGTTCTCTGCCATTTAAATTTTGATTCTGCTCATGCTGCAATATCCACACCTCCTTAGTAGAGATGTCGCGAACTGTCCGCCGAACTGTTCGCGAACTGTCCGCCGGCGAACAATAGCGTGTTTGCGTTGGGCGAACATATCCGATTTCCGGTCCACCCCCTATACGTCATGATTGAGTAAACTTTGACCCGGAACCTCACAGTCAGCAGACACTTCCTGGGAGGGAGGGTCTGCTGCTGATTGGGTGGAATGTGTCTGCTGGCTGTGAGGTTCCGGGTCAAAGTTTACTCAATGATGACGTATAGGGGGCGGACCGGAAATCGGATATGTTCGCCCAACGCGAACACGCTATTGTTCGCCGGCGGACAGTTCGCGAACAGTTCGGCGGACAGTTCGCGACATCTCTACTCCTTAGCTGTGACTCACTGAGCCTCCATGAATAAAGCAGTCTAATGTGCAATCAGATCTTACAGCACAGCATGTTTAACTTAATTATTTTTAAATCTCCTGCTGTGTTAATTGAACTTTAATCACACACAGGATTGATGCAAGCTCTAGCAGGCAATTAACAAAACATGATGTAAGAAATGTATAGCTAAACTACTTAATGTCAGAGAATTGAGCAGTGAGACTGCAGGGGCATGCTATATACACAATATCTACTTCATTAAGCTACAGTTGTTTTGGTGCATAGAGTGTCCCCTTAAAGATGGAGACTTATTTTAGGTAATTAATGCTGCAAGTGTCTATTGTACCTTTATACATCAAACCCTTTAAAAAAATAAAATAAATAATAATAAGGGATCGAAACAGTAACTATCCTCTTAAAGAAGGATGCTTTGAAGGTTTGATAAAATTTTAAAGGTAAACTAGTTTATAACTCCAGGTGTAGTTTATGCAGAATGTAAGGAGATTAATGGTTTACAAAAATGACTTTCAGAAAAAAGTCTTTGCTAGTAGGATGATCTGAATGTTGGAAATACAAGAGACCAGGAGTGTCCAAAAAATAACCCATTAAGACTCGCAGAGCATAGTGGGAGTTGTAGTTTCACAGCTAATGTGAACTATGCCTAAGGTAGACTATGTTTTGCTTTTCCAACATTCAACATTTGGCTAGGGTCCATTAAAAAACACAGTTTGCTTCCACAAGAATTCTGTGGCCAAATCTGGGCAGTTCAGTCATTGGCCACAGCGCACATTATAAAGCCAACAGCACAATGTGTTTCCGATTTAATCTGCATCATTCTCATCCAACATCTGTCTAGTGCTATGATCCAAAGGGCTAATATGGCAGTGCTCTCCGAAATGAATTTTAAATGCAATATACTGAAATTTTTTTAGGCCAAAAATTTTCCTCTGCAGAATTTTACGTGTTTTTTTGTCTAAAGTACATAAGCTGTACCTTTCCAATTCCCAGCAGAAATGGGGTTTAATCATTAGTTAGCAGGTCACAGTTTGGAAAAACAATCAATTTCTGTTCTATTTGTTTGAACTTGTTTATATTAATTTATATTTTGAGACCTGTTTGCTATCTTGTAAAACTTCAGTGAATAATCTCCCATTTATTAAAGGGACACTATAGTCACCCAGACCACTTTAGCTCAAAGAAGTGGTCTGGGTGCCAGGTTCCCCAGGTTTTAACCCTTCAGATGTAAACGTAGCAGTTTCAGAGGCGTTTCATTGCAAGGTTAATCCAGCCTCTAGTGGCTGTCTTCCTGACAGCCGCTAAAAGCACTTCTGGGACGCTGGATGTGAAATTTGCATCCAGCGTGCAGAACTTCCATAGGAAAGCATTGAGAAATGCTTTACTATGAACTCTTAGAATGCGCGCGCAGCTTTTGCAGCGCATGCGCATTCCACTCCACTCGGCAGCTGACGTCGGCAGGGGAGGAAAAGTTCACCAGCTCCGAAAAAGCCCGGCATTGAATTAAGGTAAGTGGCTGAAGGGGTTTTAACCCCCTTCAGCCCAACAGGAGGGGGACCCAGAGGGTGGGGGGGACCTAAGGGTTATATAGTGTCAGGAAAATGAGTTTGTTTTCCTGACACTATAGTGATCCTTTAAAGATTTGGACATTCGCGAGGAAAACGTGGTTTTAAATGGAAAATGTCATTAAAGAAACACAGTCTTTTAACACCATTATATTAAAAAACTGGAGCACCTCATTGATTTGCATTCTTTTATGCATTTTTAGTCTTTTTCTTGTAACAGATCCAAAAATATATCACTTTAACAGGAAATCCACAGACAATTTATTCTTTTTTGTCAAGGGTTTGCACGAGTATAAACATTGTATTTTGGATACATTTTTAGTCTTCTTTCCTCTTTGTGAGATGTTTAATTTAAACGTTTGCTTTAAACAGCAGCGACACTTGGCAAAAGATGAAACAAAAATAGAGAAGCTTGCTCATTTGTGATAAAAGTGCCAACAGATCAGATTGCTTACAATTCATTGTGCGGTTGTTGCAGTAGTCTGTGTCACAACACAGGGTAGTCACGCTCACCCTATAGTTCGGAGCTGTCAGACTTGCTGGATGCATGCATTTATAGAGGCTCCCACATGATTTTTCAAGCGCCACACTCTCCACATCTCCTGATAAACAAACACATTAAGATCAACAGTTAGAACTTGAAGCAGCACAATCACAATTTCCCCCTACTAACATCTTACATAAAAAAGACCTGTTTTAAACTTGTATCAATATTTTGGATTTGCTAAATATGATCTTCCGAATTAGTCAATTTCTTTACAAGTTGATTGATATTTCATGGAAGATATTTTTGCTTTATATAAATAAGAAAGTTTGTCGAGTTTTTCCTGCCTTGCTGGAAATAGTATAATGACAATTTTATAATTTAGAAAAGTCAATCATTTAATGTTTATCTCTGGATTTGAGATTTTATCAAAAGCCACCTTGTATTGCAGAACCATTATTCAGAACTGTAACCCTTGTTCTTTATAAAGATACATTAACAGTGTCATATTACAAGATAAAGGCACTAAGCAGTAAACTTGTTCATGGTAAAAAAAATGTGTTTCTTACAAATTTAAATTGGCACCAAGGTAGGAGAGAGCACTAAGGGACAGGAGGGGATAGCAGTAAGGGACAAGAGGGGAGAGCTCTAAGGGACAGGGAGAGGAGAAGAGACCACCAAGGGATGGGTGGGAGTGAAAGAGAATATTAAGGGACAGGGGAGTGGAAGACACACTGAGAGGCTAAGGAAGGGGGGAAGTAGAATCACCAAAGGGATGGTAGGGGAGAAAGAGACACACAGAGGGGCTCGTGAGGGACACACACAAAGGGGCTTGGGGGAGTAAGACATACAAACAAGTTGGGAGGATGTAGGAGACATACAAAGAGGGGGGATAAGAGACAAACAAGGGGCTTGCAAGAGATACACTAAAGGGGGATATAAGATGCAAAACAGAAAAAAAATGTTTTTTCTGCTCCCCTCTCAGCCCCTATCCTACCCCACAAACTCTCTCTTTCACAATACACACACAATGCAACCCTATACATACACAGGAACACACAATGCATCCCTACACACACACACATATAGAAACACACCATGCTTCCCTTACACACAGAGAAACACACAATGCATCCATTACACACACAATGCATCCCTTACACACAAAGACAATGCATCCCTTGCACACATACACAAAAACATACAATGTATCCCTTATACACACACTGCATCCCTTATACACAAACTGCATCCCTTGCACACACACACAAACGCGCACTGCTTCTCTTACACACACTCAATTCACCCCTTAGAGACAATCAATGCACCCCTTACAGACACACACACTGCATCCCTTACATTCACATAAACACACCTTGCATCCGTTACACATACAAACACAGATTCACACAATGCATCCCTTACACACACAATACATCCCTTACACACACACACTGTTTTCTATCCTTTACACAAAAACACACTTCATCCACAACACACACACACTGCATCGCCTACACAAATTGGGGCATTGTGATATCACATGGTGGGCAGCGCATATGGGGGGGCAGCAAATTATTCTTTTGCCTAGGGCGGCAAAAATCCTTGCACCAGCCTTGAGTAGCAGTAGCCACAGAAATCCCAATTTCAAATAATCCAAAATGGCCCAAATACCACTGATTTTGGGTAATTTGGAATTCCAGTAAAATTTTGTTTGAAATTCTGAAATTTGGCCAAACACCCAATTAGCTAAAACTTTCCCCAAATTTAAATTTAGACAAATACAATCACTGAGCCTACTAAACAGTAATGACAGTTAGGGAATGACAGGCGAAAGCTAAGTCAAAATAGCTGCATTTTAAAAGAAATTTGAAAATCAGGAGGATTTTAATTAAATCTCTATTTTTATCACAACTGTTTCAGCCCTTGATTATGTAAATTGTTTTTCATCTGATAACAAGTTGCTGTTTAGGGAATAGACTTCCACTTTGTCATTGTCAGCACAGGAATGAGAAACGTCCCATGATCACTATTAGTATAATATGAACAAAATACGAAACTTTTTTTCTTTATAAAACTGAACTACTTTCACGTTTACTCAGTTAACTGAAGTGTTAGGAATTGACTAATAAAGGCCAAATTAGCTAAACTTAAAAACATTTTCCATGTTGGTTCTGTGAGCATATCAGATTATTTCCAATCAAATGTTCAAATCTGTAGTATATTCCACTCAGTGCACTGTTTAGTGGAAATGACGTTTTATGCAAGAAATAGACACTCCTAACTCCTTCGAGTGAAATGTGACTCGTTCCCTAAAATAGATAAAGCATGATGGTTTCTCTTTTGCATGTCATGTCTTAAAGTACAAAAATAAACTTCAACAAGTTGTCAGTGATTAAATGTTTGAACCTGAGCCATTGTTTTCATTTATAAATAAACAAATGTAAAAATACAGATGAAATGGGCATCTTGATAATAATTGTACGTTAAAATAACTTTGGAACTTTTCAAATGACAAGGGAGAGATTTCTCTTTCTTACGTCTAGAGCATTTCTGATAAAAAACTATCCAAAGAATTCAAAGCTGAGTTGAGATTTCGAAGTTAAATCAACGTGAGAGCAAGTTGTAGTTGTGGTAAATATACCTTAATACACAGAACTTAAGAAAATGAACAGGAGAGACCAAATATATCTATTTCTGGACCTTAGAGTGGCTGGGCTAAATGTGTAGCAAACAGAAGTTGTGGTCAATAGACAAGGTCAGAGTTATAGATAAACAGATAATTGGAGGTGCTACCCGGGTCAGTGTTTCATTAAATCTGGACACTAGCCAGGTCAGGGTCACAGAGGAACTCAGAATCCAAAAAGAAGTTAACCAGAAATATATCAAGAACATGCTAATCAGGTACAAGAACAGAAAGCACAATAAGCCAAAGGATATGGGTGGAAACAACTTTAAAGGACCACTATAGTGACAGGAAAACATACTCGTTTTCCTGGCACTATAGTGCCCTGAGGGTGCCCCCACCCTCAGGGACCCCCTCCCGCCCAGCTCTGGAAAGGGGAAATGGGTAATAACTTACCTTTTTTCAGCGCTGGGCGGAGAGCTCTCCTCCTCCTCTCCGCCTCCGATCCTCCCCGCCGGGTGAATGCGCACGCGCGGCAAGAGCTGTGCGCGCATTCAGCCCGTCGCATAGGAAAGCATTTACAATGCTTTCCTATGGACGCTGGCGTGCTCTCACTGTGAAAATCACAGTGAGAAGCACGCAAGCGCCTCTAGTGGCTGTCAATGAGACAGCCACTAGAGGCTTTGGGGGAAGGCTTAACCCATTCATAATTATAGCAGTTTCTCTGAAACTGCTATAATTATGAAAAAATGGGTTAACCCTAGAAGGACCTGGCACCCAGACCACTTCATTAAGCTGAAGTGGTCTGGGTGCCTAGAGTGGTCCTTTAAAAAGGCTTGGAGGGCATTTATTGGTCCATATCACTCTGGCAACCCCCAGAAAATGTGGGAACATGATCAATCAAGGATTAGAAGTGACAAACAAACAGGACAAAAGATGGTACTAGAAGGGTGAGAGTTAAAAAACTTACACAGATTAAGAAAGTATGTACTCACATTTAACCATCCAGAATATGCATGGAAGCATATATACACACATTTACTGATCAGTCACACATTAGACCACCTGCCTAATATTGTGTAGGTGTCCTTGGTGCTGCCAAAACAGCCCTGATGCAACAAGGCATGTCCTGTGGTATCTGGCACCAAGACATGAGCAGCAGATCATTTAAGTCGTGCAAGTTGCAAGGTGGGGCCGCCATGGATAAGATTTGTTGTTCCAGCACTTCCCACAAATGCTAAGTCGAATTCAGATCTGGGGAATTTAGAGGCCAAGGCAACACCTTAAACTCTTTGTCATGTTCCACAAACCATTCCTCGACAATGTTTGCACTGTGACAGTGAGCATTATCCTGCTTAAAGACGCCATTGCCATTAGGGAACACCATTGCCATGCAGGGGCGGTCTGAAACAATCTCTAGGTAGGTGGTATGTGTCAAAGTAGCATCTACATGAACACCAGGCTTTCCCATAGTTTATCCTGCTGTCAATGTTTTGCAAGGTAAATGATGCACACACACCCAGCCATCTGCCTGATCTAAAAGAAAACGTGATTCATCAGACCAGGTAACCTGCTCCCATTGCTCCATGGCCCAGTTCTGATGCTTACATTACATTTTTTTTTTTACTACTTACAGGGTGGAGGTGGACACCATGTCACTCCGGGTGCCACTAAAACACACCATAGAGGTTATGATGCTTTGAGCTTTCCTTTAAGCTAGGTAATAGCACTTATCAATAGATTACTGATTCTGTTAAATCCAAAGGTGTGGCTGTAAGACTTTTAATTCCCTTATATATGTAGATTTAAATTATTAATTATTAATTATTAAACACTAAATCACTGGGACAACATTCATTGCAATTCTAATAAGAACAAAATTAAAATACAGTTGTCTCAAACGAAAAGAAAAAAAGAGTATTGTGCAATTTTCCACTTTGTGTTTTAAAAATATTTGATTAAAATTGGAACACAATTTAAATATTAAATTTCAACTTTAACAAAATGGTGCAAAGAATAGAAAATATCTAAAATGTATTAATTTCCCTACTTACCGATAGAGGTCTGGGTCAAGGTTTCCATACATCGGTCCTGGGAACTAGAACACGTCTCGTAGTGACCAGAGCAGCTGTTTGAGCTTAGAGAGTAGCAAACCTCACACTTCAATGCTGCACCTGAAAAATTATGTTAACATGGGTACAACAACATCAAAATAGCAAAAAGGTTTAAATCTAAATTCAGTTTATATTATAGATTATATTTAGGGCAGTTATTTTTAACTGTATTGGTATATGGAGTCAAGATTTTAAAGCAGATAGAAGGCTACCATTATCTTTTCTCAGTAATTTTAGTTCCACAAGCACAGTCAGTGCCAGTTTTAGTGGTTTATTGCAGTGTTTACATTTGTGGCCACAATGGAGAGTCATAACAAAATCTGTGTGAGGACATTCCCTGCTCAAGATTTATGTAATTTATTGGTTACACAGTCAAACTTATGTTGCTAAGGATAATATATTTTGCACCTCGTCACTTTGTCTTCAGCCGATCATGTCAACACACAGATAGACAACTGTGGCAAGGATACTATAAGCATCAAAACATAATAAAGTGGTTTTGGTGTATAGATCATGCCTCTGCAGTTTCACTGGTAAATCCTCTGCTATTTAGAAGCTAAATCACTTTTGCTTTTGCTTATGCAGCCCTAGCCACACCTCCCCTGTCTGTGACTCACACAGCCTGCATGAACAAAATGATTTAATTTTCAATCAGATCTTACAGAACAGTGTGTTTACTTTAGAAGTTCTTATCTACTCCTCTGTTAATTCAATTTTAATCATGCACAAGAGCCTCCTGCTGGGTCTAGCAGGCTATTTACAGAGCAGGAGATGGGAAATGTTAAACTAAACAAAATGGTTAAACATTAAATATTGGAAAAATTTAACAAGGAGTTTAAACATTAGATCTCTATCTACAGGAAGAGTTTAGGAAGGCTGTGTAAGTCACATGCAGGGAGGTGTTACTATTCAACCAATCAAGTCAACATGTGGACAGACAACTGTGACAGGGATACTGTAGGCATCAAAACAACTTTAGCATAATAAAGTGGTTTTGGTGTATAGATCATGCTTCTGCAGGCTCACTGGTAAACCCTCTGCCATACAGAAGTTAAATCACTTTTGCTTCTAATTATGCAGCCCTAGCCACACCTCCCCTGGCTGTGACTCACACAGCCTGCCTAAAAAAGGTTTATTTTTTTAAATCAGACCTTATAGAATAGTATGTTTACTTCAGAAGTTCTTATCTTCACATCTGTTAATTCAGTTTTAATCACACACAGGAGGCTCCTGTAGGGTCTACAAGGCTATTTACAGAGCAAGAGCTAAGACATTTTAAATTAAACAGAATGGTTAAACATTAGATATTAGACAAATTAAACAGGAAGTAAAAACATTAGATCTCTCTTTACAGGAAGAGTTTAGGAAGGCTGTGTAAGCTACATGCAGGGAGGTGTGGCTAGGGATGTATAAACAAAGTGATTTAACTTCTAAAGAGCAGAAATTGAGCAGTGACACTGCAGGGGCACGATCTATGCACCAAAACTGCTTCATTAAACTCTGGTGCCCATAAGGTATCACTGTTAAATATAATAACATATGCCTAGTTATACTCATAACCCCTTAAGGACCAAACTTCTGGAATAAAAGGGAATCATGACATGTCCAAGGCATTATGCTTCATGGTCACTGATTTACCATATTGTTACATTAATCACCTACCTCGCACATCTCATATATTCACACAGATATTAGAACTCACACACAGAATACAAAAAGAATGTTTAAGCTACCTCCACAAATTCTGTTTTATCCCTTTTATCCCTGCCAGAGATTCCATAGTATAATTTTCTTCATACTTTTTCAATCTGTGTATTTTGCGTAGGTGACCATGATTTAAATTCTTTCTACACTAACAAATGGAAACCTGCCTTGAATTCAAGCAGAGAATCCCGGCACATCGTTCATTACAAAATGTTCAATAAAGTATTATTTTTTATCTTGCTCATCTCACTCTAACATATATTGCCTGCTTTCTCTTAAATTTATATCTTCCTTCATCAGCAAAAACAAAATTGAAAAATCCCATAGATTTCACAAACTTAAAAGAAATTGCCTGATATTTTCTTTTAGGCAAAGCTATTTTACTCACCTTATGAATCATCTAATGCTGAGTTAAGATCCTCGTCAAACAACCATTCAGTGTGCAAGTTCTCTATGCAGCTTATATACTTAGAGTTGATTTACAATACTCTGTTCTGACAAGTTAGGTAGCCAATATAAAAACAGTTCAGCTCCATCTAGGAAGTTTTAACCAGAACTCATCAGATTGTATTTAATTTACTGAATGATTATTTATGAAGAGGATATGACATATTTATTGGAGTAAATGGTGAGCATCATTACAGCATGGGTGAAAGAGCTGGACTCTTTGACCTTCGCTTCATTCCTTTGTGCAGGGGTTAAAGCAAGGCACACATTAACCTTGTGGACACTGGACCTCAGATATTGGAGATTGAGTAACCTTCAGGCTGCTCCAGGCTGTGAATGATAGAACCTACTACCACAGCAGCTTAGTTATTCATATTCATAAATCACTACTAATAACATCCTTAAGTACCCCTAACCTTCACTTCCCCTTAGCCATGTGTATGACCTAAAGTTAAAGACCCCAGTGTTGTAAAGACAGTGCACTTACTCTTATGAATGCAGCATCACTACAATGTTGCTCAAATGATGCTCAGCGTTTATAAAGGAGAGCAAAAAACGGGTCACAAGAGTATTCTGAGAATGGACAGCAGCTAAAATAGCTTGCCCTTCGGTGGGTCCCCGCTCATATCTCAAGCTGGTTTTAGCTCATCTTGTGCCATTACTGAGAGAACATATCTGAAGCATATCAGACTGGTCCCACCCATACGGGCAGTCCAGATCCGAAATGCCAGCAAGTTCTCTCTGCACGAGAGATACAGCAACCCCAGACGATCGTTTCAGCCTTGTTAGGCATCATCATAGCTGATATCTCTCTAGGCACCGTGAGCAAGGGGTTCAGCATTTATAAAGCATCATTCTGACAACAACAATTTTGATACCAAATATCTTTTGTTATTAGATAAAATGGCTTTGGTAGAACTTTTGTCCACATTTGAAGAAACCACAATAAAATATGACTGAAAAATAAATTCTGGTATCAATTTAAATAGGGATTCCAAATCTGTTTGTTATCCTTTATTTGATTCGTAATGTATTATAATTATAAAACACATTTGAAAAGAAATACCAAGGCATTAATTCCTCATCGCTTTTTTGACTTGAACCCTTAAAAGTAAACCCCCATAACTACCATAGCATGCTGTATAATTGTTATAATGCCAGGACTTCCCTGGTACCACCCCATTGCACAGTACTTTCAGCTTAAGAGACCTAACATAAGCTACTGGCTCTCTGTAGGGACCAGTGTATTTAAAATGGTTTTATGTCAGAGCACGCCTGGACCATAACCACTATAGTGTGCTGTAGTGGTTATGGTGCTTGTGTTTTTCCTTTAAGCAGTGGCTGTGCACTTTACATGCAAGTTATAAAAGAGATATAAACAAGTTATAAGATTGTAAGACCCCTTAAAACGGTCTTACTTTCACTGACACAAGGCCATCACATGGCTGCTTTGAGAATTATTCACAAAAACATGGAAATAACCATGTGTTCACTGTTTATTTGCTATTTCAAGCTTTTGCACATTTTTTGGGGGGGGATTTGGACATGATGTTCTGTTTAGAAAGGCTGAGTTCGGAAATATTATTACTTGGCAAATGTTTACACAGATATTCCTACTCTGCTCCGTGCTAGAATCTGGAAAAAGTCCTGCGGTATATTTGCTTTGGGAAATGCAATGTATATACATATATATATACATATATTTATATTCTTTTTAAATATTGCAACTAATGTTACTGAATGTTTCATGTTCATAAATAGTAAATGGTGTTGGTTTTTTTTTTTCTGTATTTCGAAAAACAGCTGTTATTCATAAATCATTCAGGGTTTTGTAGATTGGAATTTTGTTTTAGAAGATATAAAGAACACCACAAATTATTATTATTCAGAGAAATACATAAAAAAATTAAAAAATTGTTGTAAATGTTTACATTGATATTTGCCAATTTTTACTTGTTACTATACAGCCAAATTATTATTTCATTGTCTAGGCTCTGCATGTAGTATACAAATTAAATATTAATTAAAAAAAATAATAATTGACCTATGTAATTACCTATTGTTACAAGCGCAGAACACACTATGATAATCAACATGGCTCTCTTCATAAATCTACTTTCACCTGCAGCTGGAACAGAGTGGTTTTGGTGTATTACTGCCAAGTGAAGCCTAGGTTGTCTTCTTCAGATAAAGACTCAATGTTTCCACTCGGCCAGTTTCCAATCTCTTTCAGCTGTATCGCTTTGTGATCCCACAATAATGCAGATGTTTTATATTCCTTGGTTCACCTTTTTCACATCATAACATTGAAGCAATTTCCATTTTTTGGTTTCCTTGAACCTTCTAAACAAATCCAGAAGATCAGTCCAACAGAGTTAGGTGTCTAGGGTTTAACTTGGGCTGTGAAGAAAGGGCTTCTGTCCTCCATTTCACTTGAAGTTTATATGAACAGGTGCGTTGTGGTTTTCTGGCTTGTCCTAACTTTACAAAAAAAAAGTCACTTTGTAGATATAAACGCACATCCCTTGGCATGCAGGTGGAACAAACTGAGACGGTAGAAGCTAATACGGGATTGTTAAGTGTGGTGGAGACCACATGTAAGTGATCTAAGACAAGATGTTCCCGAAAAGAAAACAGAAGTGACTGAGTAGGGAGCTGCTTCACTGTCTAGTAGATAAAAAGTGTGCAGCCCTTCCAGCATTATTTAGAGCACACCCACTTCTAAAAAAAAAAGGAACGTTTCATTTACCAAAGAGTCACGTCTGGACAAGCTAGTGTATCCTGCTGAATGTAGTTAATCTGTTACAATGACAAAAACACAAGAAGGTATTTAACTGAACCCTGAATTATATTGTGAAAGATGGATAATTGCAGTGACTACAGAGGGATTAAGGTAAATATATTCCAGGTTTATTGTTTACATGAGAAATATAAAGACAGTAGCTTAACACTTAAACAATTGTATTGAAGTGACGGTAAGCTCTTTGCCCCACAAACATCTCTATACCTTCGGTTACCTTCACACACTTATTAGTTATTTGCTTACCCAAGACTTGTCTGATATTCAGCAAGGATTTGCAAAATTCTCAATCTAACATTTTGGAGAAATTCAGCTATTTTTCTAGTTCACTATTTAGGAATAACTCATTTGATTAAAAGTGACACCACCACCAAAAAATGACCACCATGGTATCCTGTCTCCAGCACCTTTCCTCCTGTTACCCTTTCTCAAGCGCCTCTCTCCCCCTGCAATGCTCTCTCCAGCACTTATCCATCTGTTAGCCTCTCTCCAGCGCCTCTCTCCCCCCTGCATTGCTCTCTCCAACACTTCTCACCCTGTTACCTTTTCTCCAGCGCCTCTCTCCACCCTGCAACGCTCTCTCCAGCACTTATCCATCTGTTACCCTCTCTCCAGTGCCTCTCTCCCCCTGCATTGCTCTCTCCAGCACTTATCCATCTGTTACCCTTTCTCCAGTGCCTCTTTCCACCCTGCAACGCTCTCTCCAGCACTTATCCATCTGTTACCCTCTCTCCAGCGCCTCACTCCCCCTGCAACGCTCTCCCCAGCACCTCTCTCCCTCTGTAACGCTCTCTCTAGTAACACATGCACTCCCTTGAGGTATATTGCAGCCAGGGTGGGGGCTAATATAATAATAATTCCCACCCATGCCTCACTGGCGCTTTGTAAATGTAATCGCGTAGGAGCTGGTAATCCCGCTCCCTTGCATTATATTGCAGTGTAGCCATGTGGTCTCCCAACTCTCCCCCTCTTCCCCACACCTCACTAGTGCTTAGTAAATAAGCCATGAGGGAGCCTGTGATCAGGTGTGATAATGCGGCGGTCCCCCCCTTACTCAACAGTGGTAATATTTGGGAGACCTATTGTCTCCACCCAGCCCACACCCATAGGTCGCAGGTGGGGGCCCTAATTAATGGGGGTGGACCTATTGTACCTTCCAGTGCGCACCCATATGAGATCGATAGGTGCCCCATATGATAATGGGGGGTGGACCTATTCATTGGCAGTGGGTGGGGGCACTAAATAATAATGGGGGTGGGCATATTGTCCCATCCCAGTCTACAACCATTAGTGGTGGGTGTGGCTGATAATAAAAATAATCCCCCGCCCCATAACAAGGTATCCTGAAGTACATAGTCACCCCCATAGTAAAAAATACCATATCTTCTCTCCTCACCCTAATAATAGTGAGGGGGCAATAAACTAAATACCTGAAAAATAAAAATTGATACTTACCATTAGATGTCTTTTTTTCCCCATCTTTTTTAGTCAGCCACAAAAAAGGTTGTGTCGAACTAATCAAAAGTAAAAATGGCCCAATAGTAAAAAAAAAACAAAAAACACAAAGTGCCGGAATGAAAAAATAATCCTTCTTCACTATGTGAGGACTCTGTGCTGACTGAGCTTGCAGGATGGAGAAACCCTTATAAAACTGTCCCATGCCGTGCAATTTAACTCAGAGAGCACTGATTGGTTGGCTTAAGCAGCCTCAAATGTGGGGTGAGAGAGAGTGTGAGTGTGTGGTGTGCCAAAACCTGGATATCAGATGAAGAAAAAGAGGTCCAAGTATTCCTCCCATGCTCTATGGGCACATGGTGGACACCACAATGTCTCAACCCCACATCGGGTCTTTGTTGAGCCAGGTAGGGTTGAAACGTTGTAGTGTTCACCTAGTTCCTAATAAATGTGCCTATAGAGCATTGAAGTGCCTGGACCTTCTTTCTTCAACTGGTATATAACAATATTTGGATTTGGTTCTAGCACCAGGTCTGGTTGCACCCATTACCCTGCTCATCTGAATTGAGTGCAGTTCCATTTGTATTTTATTGTAAAGCGTTAGCTATCAATGACCTGTCATGACTTCGTTTTGCTGTCCACCCCTTTCTTCACTGCCCCATCCTCACCAAAAGACTTGAGAAGACAGTACTTAGAGACTATGTAGCCAGATGAAATGGTTGGTGTGTAAAGGGATAGTTGGTTTTATATTTAAAACTAATGTATAAATGTGTTCACATTTCATAAAATATCTAAGGTATACATGTGGGTGACCCAAATCATTTCTTATTGCAGTCACTTCCTATTGCAGCTATTTGTACCTGAAGCTATTTGTCTGTCACGCCTACTGGAAATTATCATCCCTTATATTCCTTACAATCTCTCCCAACCCAAAACAGTCCCCAACCACTCCATTGCCACCCCCCCCTCTTTTTCAGTCTTTTCAGTTTTTTTTTCTGTTCCCATTGTATCAAGTATAGGAAGCGCCCTATCATAACTCATTAAGCTGCCATCTCTTATCTCTGGTATCCTATACAGCATAATACATTCCTCGAAGCCCTGTCGTCACATTTCCTCCCCAAGTCCTCTTCACTAATGTTTATCCTATACTTTTTGCATGATGAAAATATTAGAATTGCACATTCGGAACTGCATTGACCGTTATAAAACATAACTGAGTAACATACATGAATATTTACACTTTTTAATTATTTTTATAGGTGTTGCATGAGTTGCAATACAATTATTGTTATCAATTTAACTGTTGATTGATGTGTGTGAAGATAAATAGTTATGAAAAAAAAAAGTTTGGCATCAAAGCCGGTGTTTATAGAAAACTAATTGGTTTTTCTGGCACAATGTATCAACACTTACTTGTAAAAGGTGGGAACATCACTGTCTTGCTCAATCCAGGTCAGAAGGCGGTACTTTCTTTGTTGGAAGACAGATAAAAAGGTAATGTACAGAGTTACCTACTCCTGCCATACAGTGATTCACAGGAGTCAATAAGAGAGCAGAGGTGTATCCTATTACATCATCATGTAAGCTCTGACCACAGCTGTAAAGTGAGACTTGCTCAGATTTTGGAGAATGTTGCACCATGGGAAAAAATGCCGCAAAATGAATGCAGCAGATAAACACCTAACTTTTTTCTTCTTTTTTTTTATATGCAATTAATTCAAACAAAGAAAATTTTGGAAAAAAAAAAACTGTGGTGTGTGTTATTTAATGTGCTTTTTTTTTGTAATGGAAACACAGTCTAATTACAGCTTATGTTGGTGGTAGTGTCCCCTTTAAATGTGCATGGGGATTCGGGAGAGCGAACAGATAACTCGCTTTCCTGTACGACCCCATATATACTGCATACCTACCAAACACTAGGCAGGTTATTAATTTTAGACAAAAGCAATCAAATTGAAAAACACTCTCCAGCCTGGTTGTTTTGGTCTCTATATTTTCTTTTTTTTACTAGTCATTCTCCATTACTCCATCACACTTTATTTAATGAATAAACTTGGTGTGCAATTTGTTGCTTTTTTTATTAGTAAAATTCTAATTGCGTACATATTATACATAGCTGCATTTAATCTGTGTTCCAATGTAATGTAAACTGAAAAATATATATATATTTCTCTGTTAACTCTATTAATATATATTTCTTTGTTAACTCTATTAATATATATTTCTTTGTTAACGCTGTTAATATATATTTCTTTGTTAACTCTATTAATATATATATGCCTCTATCTCTCTCTATGTAACTATTGTAGAAGCTTTATCTCTACTTGTTTAGGTTAACGCTCTGGCTTCAATCCAGATGTGGTATTCTTTCCGTCATACCTGAGCTCTGCCTGTGCACGTTTTTTATTTTGTTATCATAACAACGCCGTATTGAGAGAACACCCTTGAGATAGGCAGCCAGGAGGTGCCGAAACGTTGGGGCTATTAGGGGTTCGTGTTTCTGCCAGAACAGGCTTGTGTAAGTTGTGGTTATTGCCATTGATTAATGTATTTGCCTTTTCCTGATCATTATTCATGGCAGCATTTACTCATGGGTTAGCTCCTCCCCTTACAGCAGAAAGGACAGGAAATCGAACTCTGAAACCGGTATAAATAGATCCTCCCCCTTCCCATCAGGGAGTCTTTTTTCCTGTCCTTCACAGCAGTTTGGAAGGAGTCTGCTTAAGCAGGCCTAGATTTTTCTTTTATGCTCACCAGGCAATATTTTTTAGGCCCTGCCGGGGTTCAGCCTCTAAGCCCTGAAGACCCAGCAAAACACACTAAGATGAAGTGGCTAGCCTGGGTACCCCCTTTAGTGACGGGGGGTCGGACCCAACCTCTCCCTGAAAGGGATGAAAATGGTCCACTGCATGCCAGGGTTCAGCCTCTTATCCCTGAAGACCCAGCATTATTCTCCATTTGATGTTTTGCTTTGTGTTTGTTATAACCTGTGTGGTCTAATTTTTTTAACATCATTTACTATTTATAGCATAAGCGTAAAAAAAGATATTACATTTTTGTGGGTAGAAGGCATATTAGGAATTAATGCAGGGCAATCTCATCCCTTTACATGTGGGACATTTAGAATTAGAGGACCAAAGACATTTGATCCTTTTTTTATGTTTATATTTATTGTATGTTTGATTCCAAAGCAAAGTTGGTGGAAGATGGAGGTGCTGGTACGGGTATGGTAAGCCTTCTGGTCTTCTAGCATTTTAACATACTCTTCTTTTTTTTTCAATTCTTGCTAAAAATAAATTTTAAAATGTTGAGGTTATATGGAAAATTCATAGAATAAACAAGCAGAAGCAGTTTTCTGTTTTCTAATAATTAGCACATAAGCTATTTTGCAGTCCACCAACATCTGGTAGTACAGTTTTGGTTTTGTAATATTTGTGTCAATATTACGTCAGCATTTTCTATTTTAATTGCCGTGGAAGAACGCTAAGGAGGGAAATGCGTGCTCCCAGATAAAACATAGAAAATAAAAGTTCCTTGGTTGTTTAACTATGCTTTTTACAAACCCATTATCATTGCAATACTTTGAACTATTAAATTATGCAGAGAGTGAGACAGCATATATACGGGTTATTTATTAAAATGTGACTTAAAAAAATAAAATTGGTCAGCTTGACATTTTAGGCAAAATAGCCAAATTTAAAACTTACCATAACAAGGAGAATTTTTCAACACAGTTTTTTTCCCCCTAAAATTTAGAATTTCTATGAATTCTTTTTCATCTCTTAAAAGTCAATATTTTATCAACATTAAATGTAGTGTGTTTTCGATTCACATTCAGATAAAGAAATATGTAAACAGTGACACCTCCCATCCTTCCAGGTGACTTTCTATAACATTCAGAACTGAATGCATGTATTGCAACTTGATCTGTATTCTCTCTGTCTGTTCTTAAAATGTCATTCACGAATTATACTAGCTAAACTGGCTTATCCAGATAAAATTACTCACACTGAATTCACCTACGTGGTTAGCTATTTTGCTGAAGAAGCCTTTTGTTAGCAAGAATTATACATTTTTTCCAAGAATCCACTGCAGAGTAAAGGTTTGGCAAGGGCCTGGTTACATGAAATGGAAATGTGAATGCTAGCTGAAGCTACTTGTTTATTTAAATAATGATGATGTTAACATTTTATTAACTAGTTAACACAAGATTCTTCAAGCTTCTTTTTTATATTACGGGGTTATTGCACCAAAGGTTCTCCAACAATAAACCCTTGTCATCAAATCATACCCAATACTGAGCTCATTTCGATGGTTCCTTGTAAGTTTCACTGACAATTCTTGCAACGCTAAAATGGGATTCATTCGAGGAACAACACAGTTAATGCAAACCAGTACATTGTATTAGTGGATGCACACATGAGTAACATTTAGAAATACAATGCGTGAGTATTGACCAAAGACACCTGTTAATATTAGTAAGCCACAATCGCATACTGGATGTGAGTAATTATATTGCTTAACGATAACATATTACCTACAGCCATTAAAAGGAGCTGACTCTAATTATGCTATAGGATTATGGACAATACATTTCTGATTATTTTTTGGGGGGGAGGGGGGTGACTAGTGGTTTGGGGCTCCTAGTCACCTGGGGGGTTAAATTTTTATTTAGGGCCCCCACCCACCGCTCAGGGGTGGGGGCCAGAGGTGAGGATATTAGGTCCCCTCCAATTTTTATTTATGGCCCCCACCCACCACTCAGGGGTGGGGGCCAGAGGGGAGGACATTAGGTCCCCCCCCAATTTTTAAATTTATGGCCCCCACCCACAGCTCAGGTCCCCTCTTTAGTTTAAAAGCCCCCACTCACGTGTCACGGGTGGGGGCTCAGGAGGGGGGAATGTTTTTTTGTTTTTTTTTAACAGTGAGCAGCCACAGACTGCTCACTGTTTAATAGACATGCCCCTACTTGCGATGTAGCGAGTAGGGGCATAATTTAATAATACTAAGTAACCGGCTTATATAGAGGCTGGGTCACATGCTGCACTGGCCAATCACAGCCATGCCATTAGTAGGCATGGCTGTGATGGCTTTTAAGGGCGCACAAGTCAAACACTTGTTGATTGGCTGCCCTGCAGCCTTTCAAAATACGGCATTAAATCGCTGAACACCGAACACCAACCCGAACATACAGTGATATGTTCGTGTTCGGGTCCGGAGTCCAAAAACCATAATGTTCGGTACGAACCCGAACTTTGCAGTTCGGATTTGCTCAACTCTATTAATGTATTTATATTTTAACTTTCTAAGTATCCCTGAACAGCAAATTAAACACAGTGTTACTGCTTTATCCTCAATTTCTATATAAGCTATATATCCCACATTTAAAAATATGGCCATGCTGTTTTTATATATAAATATCTTGATAGTACTATGTTTTAGGGATTTTAAAGACAACATGTAAAAAAACGTCACTTATTTCCTGCAAATCCACAGGAATTACTGCTTCTGCTATTTTGTTTATAAAGACGAGGAAGAGGTGGAGGTCTCTAAGATAAGGGCAGTCCCCATTTTACAGATTTTTGCAGATCGTAATTTAATAATGATTTTTGGTAGCAGTAGAAAACTTATTGGAAATGATGCAGAGAAAGGTTACTGTTGCCTATGTTTAAGTACATTAAATTGTAAAACATGCAAGACTTTGTTTTTATCGATGCTAATTTAGAAAGATGAAGTGTGTATTTACATGCTCTTCTTTCTTTTCTTGGAAAGGGGAAGGATGTTCCTCAGAAATGCCTGGTTTAATTTTAGAAAGAGAAAACTTTGTTAGAAATATGCACAGTATGCTACGGAATCTGTTGGCGCTATATAAATGCTAATAATAATAATACTCAGAGAAAAAAATTCCTGCTCAATCATTTAGAAATATAAGTGATGGAAAGAAAACTCACAATGGTATTACAGTGCAACAGGTGTCTGTAGGCATCAGCATTTGGGAAACTTGCCCCCTTGGCTCCATCCTAATGAATTGTTCCTGTATCTCATTTGCATTAGTCAATGGACATTACAGCACACGTTGGACGTGTTAGTTAACCATGTTTGAGATATTAACGACTAACCATATGGCACGCTAGTTTTGTTCATTTGGCTTGCATAGCAAATTCTTCTTGTGTCCATGATGTCAATGAGTGCGTCAGCTTTGGGCCAATTGCTTACTGTGCTTAGAAACAGACCGAAACAATAGGCTGGGGTTGTTATGTCTTGCGCGGTGGGACTAGTCATCATTTTGTTTCTGTACTGCCCTTAAGAGAATGTTCAGTATTATAGGCAAATTTTTTTATAGTTTTGGCACATAGGAGCTATATACGTAAATATTGTTTCGGCATGTGTGAAGATAGGAGGAAAATATTTTTGACCATTGTTTTCGATTCCAAGTTCTTTATCCCAACAAGTGCAAACCCATGGGTGGAACAAGTCT